GCTTATAAATCCGCGATAGCGCCCAAACGTGGCCGGTGCTCCATCTGCTGCCACTGATGATATATTTGATAAAGGAATCGCTTTTTTCCACGAAATAATCTCTCAAAACATTACATATTGATTCGCCTTTAGCGTCTGCTGTCAAAGTTCTCGCAAAGAGCTTTGACAGCGGACGTGGATTTCTTGGTCCGTAACAAAACGAAAATACACCAATAATAATGCTTCCTTATTCGTCCAGTTGTATAGAGAAATGGATCGTTTGCAGATAATTACGAAAGAAGCTTACAATGCCATAACTCATTTCATCAATACGTCTTTGGACTGTGTTGTTGCTCGAAGGAATCTTTTTGATTATATCGTATGCGGGTTTGTGTACAACAGTTCTTAAAATCTCTTCAATGGCTGGCAAAATTAATTGTTCCCCGGTTTTCCAGATTTTGCTGTAAGACGCCCGCAAACCATCATAGTTTGTTTGTGACGTCGAAGCGAACATACTATCCATCGTGGGTCTCTTGTGTATTTCAAATCTTTGCCTGTTTTATCAGGGTGACACCTTCTCAGACGATCCTCTAGCTTGGATGGTTTCATAGCGTCATTGCTCAAAACTTTATTGCATAAAAGGCACGCGAGCAATCGTTTGTCCGACAACGACGGAATGAAGCCAAATTTCAAATAATCAACACCGTACTGTCTACATTTCCTTTTACATTCGGCCATGTTTAGTATCAGTTATCTGTGGACAAAAATTAAGCTATTTAAATATGATAAGACGTAGCATTCAAAATTGATTCCCGGTGTAAAACCTTATGTTAATTTAATCTTTAGATATCCTTTGTACGTATATATAGAGAGGAACCATGTACCATGGAATCCTGTTTTTAAAGATAGAGATGGCTAAGATTTTGGGGGAAAAAACCTCTTAATACTCGTGTAATTGTGGTTGACTCGAATATTGAACTACTGTTACCTCAAGTTATGATCGGCGTATCTATGCAATCGGAGGAACTACAAAAAATATTTTACTTACTTTTCTCCGGCACTCCCAAACAAGATGACATTGATTCGCTTTAACTTGCACGTATCCAACTATCTATTCGTATTTTTAAAAATATTTGCTTAACACTTTTCAAAATTCCGAAATCAAATGAACAGTGTGTCTCTGACATTCGTATTTATAATTGACGAATTAAACAAGTCCGTACAAGTCTAGGCAATAGACAAGCGTTGCTACTTCTCGTATGCGCGCGACATATTGATACTAGTGTCAAATGTGCAAGTTTTTACAAGTTACAAGTGTTGCAACCATAAAGCGATTAGCCTACTTAATTAATACGCAATTGAGTGTAGTAAATAAAATAATTGTTTAAGAATTATTATAAATTTCATAGTAAACAGTGTGATATAAGAAAATAATAACTTATATTTCAATAACAAAAGTATAACTGGCCTCTTTGTGCTCTCTGAGCGGTAAGGGGCCTAAAACCACAAAAAAAAAAAAAAAAAAACAAAACAAAAGTATAAAAATAATTTTATAAGTAAAACGAAATAGGTTGATTGAACTCGAGAGAATATTCTAACAATTAGCATTAATTAAATTTCAAAGCAATTAAGTTGTTGGTTTGACCCGTCGCAGGAGAACGATCTCGATTAAAGCATGTTTCCCAAATTTAGCTCCAAACCTTCGTGTTTAAAAATTCTTACTCCATAGGTAATTTATTTGTCTATTATAAGAAAGTATTATGTAAGTATGTACATAGATACTATTTGTGTTATTTCAATTATTCCATTTATGGAAAGCCAAAATTTCGGTCACGACCTGTTCGAATGGGATTAGTGTTACCACCCGTCCGGTTTTCACCCGGACAGTCCGGGTGAACTATTAATTTTGTCCGGGAATTTCGTAGAAATTGTGAAATTACGATGAAACAAAGTTCTTGCAAATATTTTTACAAATTTATAGTTTATTTAAAGGCGAAAGAACTCACACTCACTGAAACTCGTCCGCAATTCTGCCACGTTAGTCTGTTTAGGCGGACGTGTAGCGCGCAGCAACCTGTCGGCCCCCTTTTATGTACGATCGTACACGTCTCAAATAGAGTTAAATTATCTATACACTGTAACTGATTTGCACGCACGTTATTCTTCGCATTGTAAAATGACATTACGCATGCGTCAGGAACTTCTATTCGAACAAACCTGACCTCTTGTCCGGGTCAGCGATTTTGAAAAAGTGGCAACACTAAAGGGGATCCATTCTCGAGGACCCACATTTATATCTCATGCGCCCCCAATTTTTATTTTCGCCGACATGGACCCCTTGCAGTTCGGAATAGACCCCTAGGGGTCGATATAGACCACATTGGGAATCATTGCTCTAAAGTTGGCGTGTCGAGTAGCCGATAACTAGAGTCGCATCCGGCGAGAAGTAGCCACTTTCACCGTTTTCAAGCATTTTTCTATCGTTCTGTCAAAAAAAATCATATCCTTATTTACATTTTTAATATTATATCATGTATAAAAAGAAAAAGTGTATTTGATGTATAAAAAAATTTAAAATGGTGATAAACTGGAATTACAGATGTGGATACATCGAAAGTAAATTTACTTTCGATTTAAGTTGTCAAGGCTTTAAACATTGATCTGTTTAAAACTGTTATGTTACTACGTATTGTTATTGAAAGTTTTCTACAGTACATAATATTTCTGTATAATATATCTGTTTAATAAATAAGTAATGGTAAAATAAGAAAATAAATTCGCATTTTACTGTCTTATTACGTATGTATGGCAATATAATTAGGAAAACCATAGCTCATCCTCTGATACATTTAAATGGCCGTAGAAATTTAATTCAGATAAAGACAAACTGTTTGTTAAATAATTTATTAACTTTAACACTACATAAAGTGTGCTATACAATTTTACTCGATTTAGTATAGACAGTTAGAAATAGTATTTGCGATAAAACAGTTTTGTGTTTTTGACACGAGAAATTACACTCACCTCGGTTCCACATATTTTGGTAATTTATATAATATTCTTCACTATCGAAAGTAGAATACGAATGGAGAGTTATCGATGGCCCGCTACACCTTTCCTTTGTTTACATAGGTTTAAAACAACACTAATATGTCTTTCTTTTAGCTTCCGCGTCATCACTAATCACTATCACTGTCCGTATGTAACAATACTGTCCGAATTCTTGCCATTCTACATTTGCCTATTTTAATTGTCAACTTCTAATCATCTCTAAGTTATCGTGTGCCTGTAAATGTGTCGAATACGATGCTTAAATAGTTGGAATTTCCTCGTTTTCCTCCGATAGTCTATATTCGAAATCCAAGAACTAAATCCACTGACTTTTAATCCCCTATCTAACCTGTTCCTAACTTTTTTTGGCTCAACTTTAATCTCTATCTATCTCATTAAATTAATAAACACAATATAAATTGTGAATAACATACAGTATATCGTAATTCTCACTGCAAACCACAATAATTCACCTAATAGAAACAAATAAAAAAAGATATGGGCTTAACCTAGATAAACTCCAAAGTCACTCTAAATCCTAAATCTGTTTTTGTAACACTTTAAATCTATCCTATCTTAACGCATTGTTTAACATTTCTATACATTTCCATAATTATATTACATAATTAGCATAATTTCCTTTTCTTCCTGATTCAGAGATCCGGAAGACATCCCATATTAATAACGTATATACTGTATAGACTTAACTTTAAAAATTTTGATTACGTTTTCTTCCCCTTAACGAAAACGCCCAAAAATATTTAAAAATAAACACAAATTGTAAGCAACAAACAGTCTACTCAATTTAAAGTCTAAAATCGTGAAAATGACAGTTAATAGAAATAAATATTAACGACATTTACGAAAAAATAACGTTTAAAACCGGATGAAAATAGTATTTATAAGTAGTCTTTAAAAAAGACAAAAGAAATATCTGTGTTAAAAACGAGAAAATTTAATATATTAAAAGAATTTCTAACGTTTACAGCTGACTCTCCTTATGTACTGTACACCGTGAAGCGATCGAAGTGTTAGAAATACTTATTAATTAAACCATCAGAGCTATCGGCAGCGCAAGGACCAATATATCTAGCCACTTTGCTAACATTGTATATTCTCGATTATAAGGCGCACTTTTTTCATACCCTCCGCGACTGCTAGTTTTAGATGGATCGATAAAATGCTCAAATTACAAATAAACATTCCGTCGAAATGTCATCACGCTTCTTAATCCGCGCTTCTATTCGTAGAAAACGTATTTTATTACGGAATAGTTTCCATCTAGCGGGCTGTCAGAACCGAGGCTTTTCTGGACGTAGGGTAGCGATTCTTAAACTAGGGGCGACGATCGTTTGAGGGGTGGACAAATTTTGGATAAACTAAGATTTACGCATACGAAATACCTACTGAATATACGATATAAAGTGTTACTGTTATACAGTTTTTGTTAATATTGGATAGGTCGAAATTGCACGAAAACAGGTAATTTTAGATTATGCCCATTCAAAGGTTAGTTTTGCACCGTATGTTATAAGGGGAGTGGCGAATACGACGTCTTAAAATGGAGTCTAAAAATTTTTTAGTTATAAAGTGTCGCAAATAAAGGATGTTTCCGACACGGGAGAACCTATTTAAAACTTTTGCGGACAGAGGGCGTAAGTGTAACGGATGTCGACGGCCGTAGGATAATTTTCTCAAGTAAAATTGTCAACTCGCGCACAAATCTTCGCCCGAAAGTAGCGGTCTGTCCTCTTTGGCACGAGAAACGAGCGCCGATTTTTTACTCCGGTCTACGTACCCGAGTCTAAAAATGTCTTATTAAAGATATTATGCGAGTGTTAACGTAAATTTTTAAACCGATCGATCGGTGTGATAAAAAGTCTATTTCCGGCAATTTAACCTGGCGCCGTCCCTCCTTCACTCGCCCAAATTGCAAACGCGGAGAAATGGAATTAGTAAAAATAAACGGAAACGATAAGATCACCTTTCCGGTGTTTATTTACTAAAAATTAAAAGAATGTAAATATAAAAAGGCATAAATTAGAATAAAGTCCTTTCCGTCGGTTTGGCAGACCGCTGCAGGGAATGGCTGGAAGTACTTCTGTCGGCCCGCCGACGACGCGGTAGGAGTGGCCAGACGGATCTACCGGAATCTCTTCGACTGCTCCTGAAAGACAAAAACTTTGACAATTTCTTCTCCGTGGTCGAGTGATTAATTTATTTACAGATGTTTATCGACGTATACCCCGAGATAAAAAGGGGGAAAAACATTAATTAAATCAATTTACTCGTAAAGTGCATGCTTTCGACAGGATAAACGTGTAAGAAAACATCTCTTGCGGTAATTCCTCGTTTAACAACGGGGATGCCTTCCCTCAATACCGTTACGTTATCGGAGTTATTGTTAATTCAGATAAAAATGACGTATGTTTATAAAACCAGAAAATTACTTTCCCGTCTGTTACGTAAGCTATATAAGCTGGGAAAGTATTAGAATTGAGTCGAATTCGACCGGCCGGGTTTTGAAATCTCTGCATCTTGAGATCCCAATCCAAAAAAGTTAAATAGTAGCTCCTTGAGAGTATTCGTGTATGCGCGTTGGCGTGTTTAATATCTCGGGATGGATTGATTTCGATAACGGAATATCAAAAGTAATCTTTTTGCCATTTTATAATAATACAAAGTTTTTAAATCCCGCGATGGTCACACACAATTTTAACCTTAGTGTTTTTTGCCAGGAAAGTTATGCAACTCGCTGCTGCATTTTTTAATTGAAAAAATGCAAATAAAAACCATTACATATTTACATTTAATTACGCGTATCTCTCGTACAACACGGTTTGGGGAATCCTCCGTACAAAATTTCAAAACTTTTAAGTGTAAACTTCGTTATTCCATATTTTTGTATTTCGGTAAGTACGCCCGTCGTTTCAAATTTGCCCATGGATTGTAGAATATTGAAATTTTCGAATTATTTTCTGCCTTTCGTCGGGTCTACTTTAATGAAAACAGAGAGGAAAGTTAGGACGAGGAAAAAATTGCACTATCGACCTGATGGCGTCGTCGTCGTCGCTTTCAGACTAGCCCTTAAGACTCACTGTGTTTTGTTTATATAAAATAATCTTCGTATTTAGTAAAGTTTATTTCAACATTTTTAGGTAAGTGTTATTAAACCACTGTTAACCGTAGGTAAGTAATCATTCGTAAAAATGACGAACGAAATACCACGGTATGTGGGTACTCGAACAAATTCTGGAAAAGTCTCTCGGTACTCGACCGAACAAACGCGACCGCTAGAACAAATTTTCCATTAATAACATACGTTTATTTCGTCACCCATAAAAATAAATAATAAGAAAACGTTACCGATTCTGATCGAGATGAACAAAAAAGCCGAAATGAGGGCGATACTTTGCAAAAAGAAAACACCCTGGTTTAACCAAAATTAATATTAACGCGTAAAACGGTACTTTTAAATGTGATTGTTAAGTATTTCATAAATCCTTATCCATCAACTACAGAATTAATGTTGCCAGATCATAGTCGTTGCATCCACCCAAATCCAATCGAGAAGTATCTCAATAGCCCATACATTAATTAATTAATATTAGTAATCGAGGTCATATCTAGGAAGCCCACCAGTGGCCGAGCGGACTTCGTCCCCGCACTTTGAGTGGACTAGTTCCTAAACACTGGGAGTTCGGTCGTGGGTGGGTGCGTGCCTCGCCCGGACGTGCTTACATGTGGAGTTTTCAGGGTTTTCTCCACATTGCGTAGAGACCAGTTTCCTATAAAAAGTCCTCCCGGAAGGCATTCTTTCCCCGCGCGCCTATTGGCCAATCTATAAGGCGGCTCTTCGGTCGCCTAACGATCAAAAACAAGGCATTCGGAGTATAGAGACAAGGTCCAGCTCACAATTTAGTTGATAATATTAGACATTCCTACTCAAACTTATATCTTGAAAGCCGATATATTTCTGTATAATAATTCAAATAAACAGCCATCTCCTAAATGATTCTTTGAGTATATATTAATTCTTAACAGTAAATAAGAACTGAGCAATGGAATCCATAAAAAAAGATTTTAATATTATAATATCCTATTTAATTTTTCTAGTTATTTTAGTATTTTATTATTTTACTGGTAAATTATGTCCTACTCCGTTGATATTGGTGCCTAGTGCTATGTCAGATCAGGATCGAGGCATAACTACAGAACAAACCATTACAGTAAAGCCTGTCTGAAATGAAACCTTCCTAAAATGGGGTAAAAACTTTGGTATGGAGCAATTTTCTATGTTAAATTTTACTATAAGTCAGATGAGGAAATTGAACTGATTTTTGGGTACAAAGAGCACAACATAACCCAAATAAAGGAGAAAATTAAGATTTCACTTGTAGACAAATATTATATTGGTTATAACAGTTGTGGCAGAGCGTGATAAATTGTATTCCAAAAATGATTCCGAAATTTCTTGGGAAAAAGAGGACACGTGACAAGGGGCTATATGAACACGAGATCTTTGTTAATATTAGTCTTTGACGGAATTAACAAGGGATAGAATAAAATATTTTTAAGAATTGAGAACTTTTTCCAAGAAACAAATTGAATTTCAAATAATCAAGTTCTTGACAAGAAGTAAATGTAATTCGTTAAAAATAATGAGAACATAGGTACTTGGTTTTAGGTAACATAGGTAATAAATTTTTCAAAGAGATGTGTATTTCCATCTAAACATTCTGTAACTGAGTAACAAAGTTTTTCAGAACAGACTGTAACATTTCTATTGTTATTTCAACACTCACATTGCTTATTCTTTAATTCCTATCTTGAATTGTCTGTTGTTGAAATAAAATTTGCTATTTTATGAAGCCTTGTGCAAAATAACAATTGCTATTAGGTCCAGTGACCCGGGTGGCTACAAAATTAGTTTTAGCTAACATAGGTTTTAGGAACATAGGTAAGAAATTGGCAGTACTATGGTAACATAGTACTGCCAATTTCTTGTGTACAAAGTAGTTAGTAACTAACTTGTACTGAATATTTGATAATAGATGACTAAATGAGCAAGGTAGTTGAGACATTAGCCTACCCCTCTGGGGGACTCTGGATCAAATCAGGAAATAATCGCAAAACCTTAATCCTCACCATATGCCTTTTCCATTGTTGGTTTGGCCAAACCTATGATGTGTATGATTAAAAAAAGCATTCTTAGTGTCCTCGGGGTAGAAAGAATCAAAAATTAAAAAGCATGTATTTTAGAACAAACAAGTGATTAACACTGTTGGTAAGTACAGGGACCAAAGTTAACTATCAAGTAAAGTGCGGTATTAAAATTCCTGAAGAAGTCAGATCGTGGAATAACTTGGTCTCTATATTACAGTAATGTAATTACAATTTCCAACACCAGAGCATGCTATAAAAATGCAACTTTTTATTAGCTTTATTTAATTTACACATATTTCAAAATTGACATATTTTTAATCAATTCTTAATGTAGTTCAAAAGTAGTATTCATTACTCATTTTTGATTTAATTTTTAAAGTAAATTAAAATTCTGTATTTCTAGTTTTCACTCAGAAATCAAACAAAGATTATTTCCACATTACTGTATTTACTCGCATTTAAGACAAAGTTTTTATTTATTTATCACAGCTTCAAATTCCTAGGTCGTTCTATATGCACAAGCAAAAGATTCTTTGCATTTTTTGCAAATAATTTTTGTGAACTGTGTATTTGCATTTTTTATCGGATGCTCGCCCTCTTGTATTTAAAAACATAAGTATTTTATCTAGGTCGTTTGAATCGTTCTTGTGTATTGTCAGGGTAAAGATAAATAGCAATAGGAAAAGCAAAGCTTTAGAATTGAGTTCCAGACTGAAATTGCAAAATCACACAGGAGCCCGATATAAGTTTTAATCCATCCCCACGTGAAAACAGATACGGTAATTATTCGCAAATCAGAATTCGGAGAAACTCATGAGTGTAATCTACGGAGAGTGGGTTTGACTTTTAAGAATTGGCAAAAAAAAAAAAAGGTTCCCCATTGTCCAGCTTTACGTGAACAAATTATGTTGTCGATTTTACAATATTTTTCTTTAAAGTTTAAAATGCCAGTAATTTTTGTGGGACAATGTGTGCATTTACGTTCATTTGGTATTTTATTTGTGATTAAATGAAATAAAATTAGAATTATATTAATAAATCTAATTTTCTTTATTTTGATCTTTAAAATTGCACCTTGTCCTATATGCAAGGTCATCTTACATGCAAGTAAATACGATATTTTTATTTGTTTCACATTAATAAAAGATCACATGTTTTGAATTCCACATTTTAAATATCAAATTTACTGTCAAAGTAATAGTGATGACATAACGACATGTCTGAAGAACGATGGACCAAATGCAGAGGACTAATTTTGTAGCCACCCGGATCACTGGACCTAATAGCAATTGTTATTTTGCACAAGGCTTCATAAAATAGCAAATTTTATTTCAACAACAGACAATTCAAGATAGGAATTAAAGAATAAGCAATGTGAGTGTTGAAATAACAATAGAAATGTTACAGTCTGTTCTGAAAAACTTTGTTACTCAGTTACTGAATGTTTAGATGGAAATACACATCTCTTTGAAAAATTTGTTATATAATTGAAAAATACAAAAAGAATAGAAATTAATAAGCATATTAAAAAGTTTTATTTTTATTAGCTTGTCATCTTTCAAAACATGCAACCACATGTGCTTATAACTTTCAAAACTTATCATTTTATTGAAAAAATGCTCTCAATAAAAGTTTATTTTTTGATAGAGAATACAAAAATGTATTAAAAGAAATCTCATACAAAATTCTGTATGGGTGTGCAGTGTTGGCATCTATTTTGCATTATATCTCAAGACTGAATGAACCAAAAATTTTGATTTGAAACTTGCCAAACTTATTTCTGTATTTGGAGCATCAATGCTATTAAATTTTAGTTGTTAAAGGTTGAGGGAGTTTGAAGTTGGAGGAGGCTACATGTCATATCTCAAGAGGACAGACCAAATGATAGTTTTACTCATTTTTTGGATTTACAGTCTCAAAAAAATTGGTCCTACCCCAAAAATAAGACTTTTGCTTTTTAATAATAAATAATAATATGAATATTTTAATTAATTAAACGAT